AAACCACGCCCACGATGCGCTATTGAGACAGGTTTATTCAAACGTTTGACCGGAAACATCACAAATAATTTAAGACCAGTTGTTCACTGACAAAATCATTTGGATACATGAGCACATTGTTCAGATCACTAGAGCTCTTTTTTTTCTTTAATATATTGCATCTCTGCAGGCGTTAAAACTGTTTGTTTATTTTTGTTGTTGTTTTGTTTTTCCTTTTCAGCCTAAGCCTAAGACAGAAAAACACAACTCAAACATTAAGAAGAAAAAAACATACACTCTTACACTCCTACACGGATGGAAACCATGCAAATGTTCACAGAGTTGAAGGACACCTTCTATCACCTTCTTTTATGGAAATTTTGTTAAAATTGCTGTTAATGGATATGAAAACAATTAGCAAATTAATTACTTATGCTTATAAAAGCATGTTTCATAAATCTTCCTCAAATCAAGTCCAAATCCTGAGAAATTTGCATCATAAGGCAGAGGGGGTATATATTCAATGGAAAAACCTCAGACAGACACTCTTGGCCTCTGCAGCTGAGATCAAGCACTGTTTAATTAGAGGCGCTCTCCTTTGTCAAAATAGTACACATATGCATTCAAAATCACCAAAGCAAATTTGAGTGCCTTTATCAATATTGGCATTTTGGTTTTGGTTGTGCTTGGTATTGGTATTGCAGCCCCATTATGAATAACTGAACTGTTACTGGGCCAATACCTGATTCATAATAATATACAACTTACATACTGTGTGAAGCCTGCACTCAGAAAGGTAGTGTTCAGCGGATAGAATTTGAGAGAATACTGCAGGAAAGAAATGGTATCTGTGAATACAAAGGGTAATGGTCAAACAATTATGAAGGCTGCTAGTATGGAAGTGAGAGGTCAAGGCAAAAAGAAAAATTGCAAGTTATTTGTTTAGGGCTTATAAGCAGGATAGGCAAGTCAGCGAAGGTCTCTCTCCTCATCCTCTGTATGGTTTTCTTGATACAGAGAAGCATGGTGGTGAGCCACTGGTCCAACTGAGAAATGGTGTCAAATTCTTCTATTTCGTATAGTATGTTATTGTATTTTATCTTTTCCTATTCTATAGTGTTTTTCTTAATTTTTACTGCTCTAAACTTGTACTTTTGTTTTAACTTAGCTTTTGAAACAAATTAGTTTGACTTTCATTCGGCCTGCACTACACCACATAAATGCAATTTTAAGTATAATTGTACTATTATTTCTTTGTTCTGCCCGCAATGCGGTTTTATTGTAAAGCACTTTGATGTACAGTAGTCTTTTAAATGTGCTATATAAATAAACTTTGACTTGACTTGACTGGCTACCTCCCTGGACTTTTTTGAGGGGGAGGTAACAATGTTTAAAACAATAACAATAATAATATTTATATTTATAACAAGGTGCAATAATAATGAATGTGCAATAATAACAGTGTTCAATACATATACTCTTCTTCTTCTTTTCTTTTTAACTAAGTTAATATATTGTGTTGTGTTGTTTGTGTTGCGTTGTGATGTGTCATATCGTGTCGTGTTGTGTTATATGTAGTGCTGACGTAGGACAGTTTTACAATCTCATTGTACTATTGTACTATGTATGACTGTGCAATGACAATAAAGAGTTGTCTTATCTTTCTGCTGTGACCAAAGCATTTCCCACTTGTAGGACTAATAAAGGTTTATCTTATCTTGTCTTATTGGTGTGGATGCTGTTAAAGCATCCATAGTATTGTTCTTCAAATCTTTATTATTTATTCATTTGTTTATTATATCATTTATTTGATCCATTTGCAAAGGCAAATTAAACTCCCACAAAAACAACTTATTTTTGTAGACATTTCAGATAAAAATAGGTTTGTTTCTCCGTGTTGACATCTGGTCTGGACGTCATTATAGGACGCAGTAAACCCGCTGTCAAAAGCAAAAAGCATTGAAGCACTGCACATACTGGTGACGATAAAAGTGAGTAGAAACTGACCAAACTTATTTAGTGTCAGAGGACCGGTTTGATAACCTTTCATAAAACACCTGTCTGTTTCCCTTTCATTCTGTTCTGGACTCATTTGTTACTGGTCCCCTCACTCGCATGCCTGGACCCCTTCGGGGGGACGTAACAATCACTATGTAGTGACATCAGGGTACTGATTCAAATACACATTTCAGTCAAGGTACACTCACAGACAAATCTGACCCACTGTACTCATTGCCGTTCCCATAATATTGCTTACTTTATGTGCTACTAGACAAAAACACGTATAAGGAAGAAACAGAAATCTTCTCAGAGAAATCCTCTTTTTATCCTTCCTTAGGTCCTCAGTGTGTCACAACCTTGATCGTGCCCCTCCGGTTTCTACACCTGCTCAGCCTCCACCTTCATACAACAGTTTACGTAGCAGTGATTGATAATCCTGGAAGGCAGCTTTTATAACCTCTACCACCA